CCTTGAAAAATATTCTTTAAAAAATCCACGTGTATGGCCTTTAAGGTCTTTGATAAAAATTCTTCAAAAAATTCACGTTTATGGAATCTAAAGTCCTTGAAAAATATTCTTTAAAAAATCCACGTTTATACCCCTTAAGGTCCTTGATAAAAATTATTTAAAAAATCCACGTTCAAACCCCTTAAGGTCCTTGATAAAAATTATTTAAAAAATCCACGTTCAAACCCCTTAAGGTCCTTGATAAAAATTATTTAAAAAATCCACGTTCAAACCCCTTAAGGTCCTTGATAAAAATTATTTAAAAAATCCACGTTTATACCCCTTAAGGTCCTTGATAAAAATTATTTAAAAAATCCACGTTATACCCCTTAAGGTCCTTGATAAAAATTATTTAAAAAATCCACGTTTATACCCCTTAAGGTCCTTGATAAAAATTATTTAAAAATTATTTAAAAAATTCACCTTTATACCACTTAAGGTCCTTGATAAAATTATTTAAAAAATCCACGTTTATACCACTTAAGGTCCTTGATAAAAATTATTTAAAAAATCCACGTTTATACCCCTTAAGGTCCTTGATAAAAATTATTTAAAAAATCCACGTTTATACCCCTTAAGGTCCTTGATAAAAATTATTTAAAAAATCCACGTTTATAACCCTTAAGGTCCTTGATAAAAATTATTTAAAAATCCACGTTTATACTCCTTAAGGTCCTTGATAACAATTCTTAAAAAAATCCATGTTTATTGTTGAGATGGTCCTTGATAATAATTCTTTAAAAAATCTGCATTTATTGTTGAGAGAACCCTTGAGGTCCTTGATACAAATTCTTTAAAAAATCCAGATTTATTGTTGAGATGGTGGTTGATCAAAATTCTTAAAAAAATCGACGTTTATTGTAGACATGGTCCTTGATAAAAATTCTGTAAAAAATCGACGTTTATTGTAGAGATGGTCCTTGATAAAAATTCTTTAAAAAATCGACGTTTATTAAGAGATATCCCTTGATAAAAATTCTTTGAAAAATCCACATTTATTGTTGAGATGGTCCTTAATAAAAATTCCTTAAAAAATCCAGGTTTATAACCCTTGAGGTCCTTGATACAAATTCTGTAAAAAATCCACGTTTATAACCCTTGAGGTCCTTGATACAAATTCTGTAAAAAATCCACGTTTATAACCCTTGAAGTCCTTGATACAAATTCTTTAAAAAATCCACCTTTATAACCCTTGAGGTCCTCAATACAAATTCTTTAAAAAATCCACGTTTATAGCCCTTGAGGTCCTTGATACAAATTCTTTAAAAAATCCACGCTAATTGTTGAGATGGTGGTTGATAAAAAATCTATAAAAAATCCACGTTTATTGCTGAGGTGGTCCTTGATAAAAATTATTGCTGAAATGGCCCTTGATATTTCTTTAAAAAAAATCTCCGTTTATTGTTGAGATGGTCCTTGATAAAAATTCTTTAAAAAAATCCACAATCATTGCCTCAAATATCCTTGCAAATATTCTTTAAAAATCATTTAACTCATTTCCAGCTGGGGAGGATGGAGTCATAAAAATCTGGTCTCGATCGGGTATGTTACGTTCCACGGTTATACAGAGTGATGAACCCATACGTTGCGCCAGATGGGCGCCCAATTCGACCTCGATTGTTTTCTGCCAAGGCGGTTATATATCGGTCAAACCCTTGGCTGCTAACAGTAAATTGATAAGGGTGAGTTAAAGGATCATCTGAACGAAAGAATATATATTGAAGACAATATCTGCACATGTCCTAAAGGACTAATAATATGTCATCGCTTTTTTTATTTCCTTAAATAGTGGTGTGCCCATGATGGCTTGGTTTTTTCTCTTAGCTGGTCGCCACATTCGAATATTATAGCCTCAGGAGGTGAAGATTATCGTTTTAAAATTTGGGATTCACAAGGGTCCAATTTATTTACCAGTACTACCGAAGAGTATGCCATCACAGCTGTGGCATTTAACCCCGAAAAGGATATTCTATTGGTTAGCACATTCAATATGCTGAAATTGTGCTCCACAGCCGGGGTAGGTACTCTGAAAATTTGAAATACTCCCATAAAAATTATCATATATTTTTCCTCCGATAGTGGTCCTACAGCACAGCCCGCTTTAACGAACCGGTGGTTGGCTCATTTCATGCCCTCTCCTGGTCATCGGATGGTACTCAGGTGGCATGTGGTACCTCTACTGGACAACTAATTGTGGGTTATATTGTCCAGAAACAAATGATATCGAGAAATTTAAAGGCCACAACAACTGGACGCAAATCTCTGCGTTTGGAGGACATAACCAATGGCAGCAGTGATATGTTGGAGTTCACTGAGAGGATTATAAATTTCGCTCTGGGTTATGGACATTTGATTGTGGCCACATCAAATCAAATACATATTTACAATGAGAAGTACATCAATACACCGATTATAATTGATGGTCGTACCGATGTGAGGGTCATACAAGTGGGCAAGAAGTAAGGGGTGTAGTTTGGAAATTTTGAAAAATTAATAACTTATGATTTATTCTTCAGATTTTTCATGGTTTTGGACTCAACATCGATATGGGTATATACTTATACTGGAAGATTACATTTGAATCCCCGCTATCCTGGCAGTCAAGCGCAGATTCCATTGCTTAATGGGCGCAGTATCTCGCTGGGATTGGATACGCTGGTTGTAAGGGATAACTCCGATACTATGGGTAAGGCAAAACCTCAAGAAAGAACGTATATGTAAGTCTTCTATGGATCGAAGAGCTTCTGCAACTCTTCTATGGATAGTAGACTTTCGGATGGTATTCTACAGACTGAAGACCTTCGGAAGCTCTCCTAAAGACAAATAACGTTCAGAAGCTCTTCTATGGATAGAGGACCTTCCGAAGATCTTCTAAAGACGGAGGACGTTCGGAAGCTCTTATATGGATATAGAACCTTTGGAGGCTTTCTATGGATAGAGGGTCTTCGGAAGCTCTTCTATGGATAGAGGACTATCAGAAGCTCTTCAACGGATTGAGGACCTTCGGAAACACTTCTACGAATAGAGGACCTTTGGAAGCTCTTTAACGGATCGAGGACCTTCGGAAGCTCTTCTATGAAAAGAAGACCTTTGAAGGTCCTCTATGAAAAGAAGACCTTCGGAAGCTCTTCTATGAAAAGAAGACCTTCGGAAGCTCTTCTATGAAAAGAAGACCTTCGGAAGCTCTTCTATGAAAAGAAGACCTTCGGAAGCTCTTCTATGAAAAGAAGACCTTCGAAAGCTCTTCTATGAAAAGAAGACCTTCGAAAGCTCTTCTATGAAAAGAGGACCTTCGAAGGCTCTTCTACGAAAAGAAGACCTTCGGATGCTCTTCTATGAAAAGAAGACCTTCGGAAGCTCTTCTATGAATAGAAGACCTTCGGAAGCTCTTCTATGAATAGAAGACATTCTGAAAATCATATTTGAATAGAAGATCCTTTGAAGCTCTTCTATGGATCGAATATCTTCTGAAGCTGGCTTGAATACCTCTTCTATAGTCTTCTGAAGCTTTTCTACAAGACTTTCTGCTTCTGTAGCTCTTTTATGGCTAGAAGACCTTCTGAATTTCTTCTATGGATCGACGAACTTCTGCAGCTCTCCTATAGCTAGAAGAGCTCCTGCTCTTCTATCGATCGACGAACTTCTGCAGCTTTCCTATGGCTAGAGGAGCTTTAGCAGGTCTCCTATGGCTAGATGAGCTTTTGCAGGTCTCGTATGGCTAGAAGTGCTCCTACAGCTCTTCTATGGCTAGAAGATCTTTTACAGCTTTTCTGTGAGTGGAAGAACTTCTGCAGCTCCTTTATAGCTAGAAGACCATTTCTATGGCTAGAATACCTTCCGAGGCTCGTCTATAGCTTGAAGAGCTTCTGCACTTCTTGTATGGATCGAAGAGCCTTTGCAGCTATTCTTTGGATCGAGGAGCGTCTGCAGCTCTTCTATGGAAAAAATACCCCATTAAGCTTTCCACTTCTAAAATCTCTTACGCTTCCACTTTCAGTCCTGCATATCTTCGATTTAATCCCTGGAGCCACGCGCCAATATGAGCCATTTATGCTGAAGGCCAAGACGCAAATCGCTGAAATTGCCGCATGTCGAGCTGGGACGGTAGATGATCAATTTGTTGTGATGATAGACAACAATCGGGAACTTTATATAACTGAGACAAGGAATTTGAACAGTAGTTCCGAGAGAAGTGCAATTGGTGGTGGTATAAGTGGATCAACATCGGGAGAGATTTATAAAATTGGAACACAGGTGACGACAGTGCAGTGGGCAAGTGAATCGAATATTTTGGTCGGCGTCCATGACACCTGCTACAGTATTTGGTACTGTCCCGGTGAGGGAGCACCAGATCCAACCATTATTGCCTTAACCACAGTGACCATAGATGCCACGTAAGTTAGGAACGGATTTTAATTTTTAAATTCTTAGTTCGTTTTTTCCTCCTCCAGGGAATTTGGTAAAAATATAGCCATTGAATCCTTTGAAGACTCCATTGTCACATTCCGCTGTGCAGGGGCGTTGTTACCCATAACCGTCAATATGTATTGTGAAATATTGCATCGCACTCTGGCCGAGGGCCAGTGGCAGCAATCGTTAAAGATTTGTCGTTTGGCCCATAATGCCTATCTGTGGGCCACCCTGGCCGCCGTGGCTACTCGTAAAAATCAGCTTCAAATTAGCGAAGAAGCCTATTCGGCGGCATTACAAATCGATAAGGTTAGCTATTTACAGCACATCAAAACATTGGATCCCTCCAGCCCTGAATATATGGCGGAAAATTCTCTGATGCTGGGAAGACTCATTGAAGCCGAAACGATTTTAATTCATAATCGAAAATATCGTGAAGCTGTGGCCTTGTGTTTAAGAATGCATAACTGGCGTAAGGCTCTGGAAGTGGCCCAGAAACATGATCCCGATTTGATGGAGGTGGTGCTGGAGCAGAGAAGGAAATATTTGAATGCTCTGAATCGTGAGGAATGGGATACTTTATTTATAAGTTTAAGTGTTAAAGATAATGATGAGTAAATTTGAAATTAAAATTTTAAAGAAATTCGGATGGTTGGTTTTTAATAGGCAGGACAGACCATGGGTTTTCCTTCGAGGGCATTGATAAGATTATTGGCTGCCAACATGGCCATTTCAGTGGTGGTCTTTAGAGTTTGGGTGCCCATGTGAGGGATGACAACTGAAAATTAAGAAAAAAAATGAAGAAGTTAAACAAAATAGTGCGGACTTAAATATTGGCTTCCTATTCCCAGTCTAAAGGTGAGGATACATACGATATTTTATGAGATAAAGCAACGTCTAGGTTTTTAATATAAGAATGGACCGGAATCGCTCTAAGTCAACTCAAAATGTATGGTTTATTTACAAAAAAAAAAAAAAAACTTGATGCCACATAAAAAATTCTCCTTTGTGTTCTCACCTTAATGCGGTTCGGAAGCCGAACCATTATTGGAACTAAAAAATACATTAAATACCTACCACAATTTGGTATTTTCATTAAAGGATCATCGGCGGGCAATGGCTCCGGGGTCATAACATCCAAACCAGCGGAAAATATTTGACCCGTTTTCAAGGCTTCAATCAAGGCGTCTTGATCCACAATTCCTTAAAAAAATTAAAATTATTTAAATAAAATTGAAACCACAGAAAAGCCAACACCCTTACCTCCCCGACCCACATTGACGAAGACACAATTCTTTTTCATTTTACCAAATGCTTCGGCATGAAATTTCCCCTTTGTTTCCGCAGTTAAGGGACAAGCCACCACCAAGAAGTCACTTTCCTTCAGTAGTTCATCAAATGTCACATGGTGGGCTCCAAAGTCAACATCATTCTCTCTTCGCGTCCTTGTGTGGTAGATGATTTTCTTAACATCCCAACATTGCAGACGTTTGGCGATGGCTTGACCAATTCCTCCAAATCCCATGAATCCAATGACAGAATCACGTATCTCTTGACCCATCAACCAGTTAATGCGCTCCTTTTCCCACTTGGAGCTGGAATAATCAGATAATACCGCAAATTTAATGACCACCCTAATGTCATATAGTAAAGCTTTTCCTAAACAAAAGCTTTTAACTCAACTGTTAAAAGTTAACAGCACAAAAAATGTTAATAACACTTGAACTTTAAATGTAATCGAAAGTTTCCTGTTTAACCCTTAAATGAAAAAATTTCGAACAAAGGCTATATCAGATTAGGTAGAGTATTAGACCAATAAACGTGGATTTTTTAAAGAATTTATATCAACGACCATCTCAACAAAAAATGTGGATTTTTTAAAGAATTTTTATCAAGCCCCATCTCAACAATAAACGTGGATTTTTTAAAGAATTTTTATCAACCAACATCTCAACAATAAACGTGGATTTTTTAAAGAATTTTTATCAACCAACATCTCAACAATAAACGTGGATTTTTTAAAGAATTTTTATCAACCAACATCTCAACAATAAACGTGGATTTTTTAAAGAATTTTTATCAACCAACACCTCAACAATAAACGTGGATTCTTTAAAGAATTTTTATCAACCAACATCTCAACAATAAACGTGGATTTTTAAAGAATTTTTATCAACCAACATCTCAACAATAAACGTGGATTTTTTAAAGAATTTTTATCAACCAACATCTCAACAATAACGTGGATTTTTTAAAGAATTTTTATCAACCAACATCTCAACAATAAACGTGGATTTTTTAAAGAATTTTTATCAACCAACATCTCAACAATAAACGTGGATTCTTTAAAGAATTTTTATCAACCAACATCTCAACAATAAACGTGGATTTTTTAAAGAATTTTTATCAACCAACATCTCAACAATAAACGTGGATTTTTTAAAGAATTTTTATCAACCAACATCTCAACAATAAACGTGGATTTTTTAAAGAATTTTTATCAACCAACATCTCAACAATAAACGTGGATTTTTTAAAGAATTTTTATCAACCACCATCTCAACAATAAACGTGGATTTTTTAAAGAATTTTTATCAACCACCATCTCAACAATAAACGTGGATTTTTTAAAGAATTTTTATTCAGGACCATTAGACCAATAAACGTGGATTTTGTAAAGACTTTTTCTCAAGGACCATTAGACCAATAAACGTGGACTTTTTAAAGAATTTTTATCAAGGACCATTTGACTAATAAACGTGGATTTTTTAAAGAATTTTTATCAAGGACCATTAGACCAATAAACGTGGACTTTTTAAAGAATTTTTATCAAGGACCATTTGACTAATAAACGTGGATTTTTTAAAGAATTTTTATCAACCACCATCTCAACAATAAACGTGGATTTTTTAAAGAATTTTTATCAACCACCATCTCAACAATAAACGTGGATTTTTTAAAGAATTTTTATCAACCAACATCTCAACAATTAACGTGGATTTTTTTAAGAATTTTTATAAAGGACCTTTTGACTAATAAACGTGGATTTTTTAAAGAATTTTTATCAACCAACATCTCAACAATAAACGTGGATTTTTTAAAGAATTTTTATCAAGGACCAAGCCAACAATAAACGTGGATTTTTTAAAGAATTTTTATCAAGGACCAACCCAACAATAAACGTGGATTTTTTAAAGAATTTTTATCAAGGACCAACCCAACAATAAACGTGGATTTTTAAAGAATTTTTTATCAAGGACCAACCCAACAATAAACGTGGATTTTTTAAAGAATTTTATCAAGGACCAACCCAACAATAAACGTGGATTTTTTAAAGAATTTTTATCAAGGACCAACCCAACAATAAACGTGGATTTTTTAAAGAATTTTATCAAGGACCAACCCAACAATAAACGTGGATTTTTAAAGAATTTTTATCAAGGACCAACCCAACAATAAACGTGGATTTTTTAAAGAATTTTTATCAAGGACCAACCCAACAATAAACGTGGATTTTTTAAAGAATTTTTATAAAGGACCTTTTGAATAATAAACGTGGATTTTTTAAATAATTTTTATAAAGGACCTTTTGACTAATAAACGTGGATTTTTGAAAGAATTTTTATAAAGGACCTTTTGACTAATAAACGCGGATTTTTGAAAGAATTTTTATAAAGGACCTTTTGACTAATAACGTGGATTTTTTAAAGAATTTTTATCAAGGACCAACCCAACAATAAACGCGGATTTTTTAAAGAATTTTTATCAAGGACCAACCCAACAATAAACGCGGATTTTTTAAAGAATTTTTATCAAGGACCAACCCAACAATAAACGCGGATTTTTTAAAGAATTTTTATCAAGGACCAACCCAACAATAAACGTGGATTTTTTAAAGAATTTTTATCAAGGACCAACCCAACAATAAACCTGGATTTTTTAAAAAAAATTTTATCAAGGACCAACCCAACAATAAACGTGGATTTTTTAAAGAGTTTTTATCAAGGACCAACCCAACGTGGATTTTTTAAAGAATTTTTTTATCAAGGACCAACCCAAGAATAAACGTGGATTTTTGAAAGAATTTTTATCAAGGACCAACCCAACAATAAACGTGGATTTTTGAAAGAATTTTTATAAAGGACCTTTTGAATAATAAACGTGGATTTTTTAAATAATTTTTATAAAGGACCTTTTGACTTATAAACGTGGATTTTTTAAAGAATTTTTATCAAGGACCAACCCAACAATAAACGTGGATTTTTGAAAGAATTTTTATCAAGGACCAACCCAACAATAAACGTGGATTTTTGAAAGAATTTTTATAAAGGACCTTTTGAATAATAAACGTGGATTTTTTAAATAATTTTTATAAAGGACCTTTTGAATAATAAACGTGGATTTTTTAAATAATTTTTATAAAGGACCTTTTGACTAATAAACGTGGATTTTTGAAAGAATTTTTATAAAGGACCTTTTGACTAATAAACGCGGATTTTTGAAAGAATTTTTATAAAGGACCTTTTGACTAATAAACGTGGATTTTTTAAAGAATTTTTATCAAGGACCAACCCAACAATAAACGCGGATTTTTTAAAGAATTTTTATCAAGGACCAACCCAACAATAAACGCGGATTTTTTAAAGAATTTTTATCAAGGACCAACCCAACAATAAACGTGGATTTTTTAAAGAATTTTTATCAAGGACCAGCCCAACAATAAACGTGGATTTTTTAAAAAAAAATTATCAAGGGCCAGCCCAACAATAAACGTGGATTTTTTAAAGAATTTTTATCAAGGACCAGCCCAACAATAAACGTGGATTTTTTAAAAAAAAATTATCAAGGGCCAGCCCAACAATAAACGTGGATTTTTTAAAGAATTTTTATCAAGGATCATTTTTTTTGAACAATTTTTCTGCATTTTTTTTTTTTTTTTGATTTAGAAATGCGTTGCATCATTTCTAAAGTTTCCATCCTATCCTCTGCCCATTTAAGGGTTAATAAATATATATAAAAGCTTTTTGTAGTAGGAAAGCTTTCGCTAATAGAACAGCTGTTCCGCTAGCCATTAATTAATTCATTGATAAACAACAATCATGAATTCCACTTACTTTTCGATTAGCTGCCGTCCGGCATGAAAGAAACGTCCTGCTGCTATCATCAGTCCTATGGCCAAATCAGCCACTCCATTCTTAACGACGCCCGGAGTATGCCCCAATGGCATTTGACGACGCTTAAATTCCGGCACATCAACATAATCAATGCCCGATGACATTGTGCTAACCGCTTTTAGCTGTGAACCGGCCGCATCGAGTACTTCTCCATTCAATGGTTGATAGGAGGCCCAGAAGATGGCATCAACACCGGGTAATTTCTGAAGTATATCCGAACGAACCGGGGGAATATTTTCACAGACAATCGTCTCACATCCTTTCTGGCGAAGGAATTCCAGCGCGGGAAGTGGTACCTCCGGATGGGTGACGAGAACTTTGTACAGACGACGAGCGGCAGATGTCATAGCGTGTGGCGTGTGTGTTTTGATAGGCAAAATTTAAACAACTGCTGAACAACTTTTGCTCAGCATGCAATGGAAAACTTTCGGACAACAACAAGTTGATAAGGAGAAATTTAAGAAAGAGAGAGAATGTGTGTTCTCTTTTAATAGTAAAAAGTATGAGATAAAATAAAGAGTGCGATGTGTCTAAGAGAAATTTGATTGGAAATATGTTAGGAGATCTTTAGGAAGATGAAAGACATTTTGAAACATCCTAATAACTATGTATAAAAGAGTAGTAAAATAGCTGACTGACTGATATAGAATCAACGCCTAGACGAAACGGCAGGAGCTTTTGAAATTTTGAGCGAGGTCCAGTTTGGGGGCCTGGAATTTTGGAAATTCGCAAGGCAACAAATAGTACTAAAAATTGAATACATTTTTGTAGACTAAAGAAATGAGTTAGAATTCTGAAATTTGGAGTGAGGATCACTGATAGAATGCAGGATAGATGTACCACCAAAGGGGTTTTGAAAATTCGAACTGTATGGTTATGAAATTTCCAACATTGTACTAAACTTCTAAAATGGTGCTATTTGGTTTTATGTGAACGGAAGCTAAAATCTTGAAAATTAATATAAGAATCAAGGTTGGAAGGTAAGTTGGATGTATAAGGATGGCTTTGCAAATGCGAAATAGGTGTGCGAACTGTACTAAATGGTAAAAAATTTAGAACAGTTTGGTTTGGGGAGAACTGATGAAGCTGGAATTTTGAAATGGTGTATTGGGTACTGCAAGTGCACGAAAAGTACTAAATATTATTATATCTGGTACAATTTGGCAGTGGGTGAACAGATAGCGCTGGAAATCTGAAGTTTGGTATTGAGGTCGCTGTTTATGTGTAGCCTGGACATATGGAGGTGGTTTCGTTAGAAGTTCTTAGAAATCTAATTTTTGAACAGAAGACCTTCGAATAATGACCAGAAGTAGGAAAGCCTCATATTACGGATCTAGTAAACATAAATTCCGTTTGGAGAGCAACTTTGGAATTTTAGATCTTCAATAGATTGAAAAACTTTGGAGGTTTTCGCTATATAGAAAGAAAATCCTTACAGGCCTTCAGTAAATTGAGGACCTTATATGATCTTCTAAAAGAGAAGACCTTTTTTAGCCTTCTGTACAGAGAAAACGCTTTTGAGATATAATAGAAAATTAGAAATGAAAGCTCTTTGAGGTCTTTGATATATTTAAACAATTTTTGAGGTCTCCTATTTATTGAATACGTTTTGACTGACTTTATGGAGGTATTTTAAAGATAGAACCCCTTTTAGAAGGCTTCCATAAGCCATTTACATGTCCTTTGTAAATAGAAGACTCATTTAAAGACTTCCACGGATAAAAGGCCTATTGGAGATATTCTATAGAAAGAAGACGTCTTGAGGTGCTCAATAGGTACAACAACTTTTAGGGTTCGTCTCAGTGGAGACCTTTTTTTAATATTTTTAGATTGAAAAAATATTTGAAAAATTTTTCTGACGATTGAAGGCCTTTTGGAGGTATGCTTTAGACAGAATGCATCTGCAATTGATTTAGAACCATTTGAAGGCTTCATATTGATGGAATATCTTTGAGGGCTCCTGTAGATAGCATGCCTTTGAATGTCTTTTATTGCTGGAAAACTTTGTGGAGGGCTTGACTTGAAGAGCTTGAAATCCTCCTTTGGAAAAAATATATCTTGGTAATCTTCTATAGATGGAAGAGGACTTTAAAAGTTCGAAGAAAACCTCTGAGAGCTCTTTTTCTGATAGAAGGTGATCAGGTGGACATTCGGGCGACTTTCGAAATGTGTTTTAGTCTCTTGGATGTCCCAGTAGATAGTTGACTTTTCCATGTTCTTCTACAGATAGAAACCCGTTTGGAAAGCTTCTATAGAAAAAAGATTTTTGCAGTTGGATGTATTCAAAGGAGAAAAAAAGGAGATTGAATGGACTTCAAAAAATCGATCTACTGGAGATAGGAGACTTTAGAGAGGTCTTCAGCAAATAGAGGACCTTCAGGTCCTTGAAGGTTCTAGTATAGAGAAGACTTTTCGAAGGTCTTCTATGGATAAAAAGAAATCACATAGAAAGCTTTTATAGATAAACGATTTTCTACAGTTGGCGATCTTCAAAAGTTCGAAGAAAACCCCTGAGAGCCCTTTTTCAGATAGAAGGCGATTGAATGGGCTTCTAAAAATAGATCTTCTGGAGATGGGGTACTTTCGAGAGGCCTTTAGAAAATAGAGGACTTTAAAAATGTGTTTCAGCCTCTTGGAGGTCCCAGTAGATCCGCTATCCGAATGGCTATCTTCTATGGAAATTCTCTTTACAGATGACTCTTTACAGTTCTTCTGAAAATAAAATATGTTTAAACCCTCTTCTAGAAATAAAATACTTTAGGAGGTCTAATTGGACTGAAAATCGCTAGATGGACCTTCATAAACCGTTTGTAAGTCTTCTACGCTCAGAATTCCTTTGGAAGTTTTTCTGATCATAGAAGAAGTTTTGAGAGTCTTCCACAGATGAAGGACTTGCGGAAGGGTTGAATATACATAAGACCTTTACAGTTCTCCCATAGGTTTAAAATTTCAAAGAGATCTTCAAAACATAAGTTAGTTTAAGAGATCTACTGGAGATGGAAATTTCCTTTGGAGTCATCTGTAGATATAAGAAGCTCTCAATAGAAGAGATTTTAGAAATCATTGCGATATCTTCTTTTAGAAGAAGGTATTCAATAAATGGCGTACTTTTTGAAGGATTTTTGGAAAAACATGTCTTGTATTGAATACCTTCTATTAAAGGGAAACGTTTTGAAGGACTTTTTTTGAAGCATTCTTTGACAGATACCATTTGAAAGGACCTTCAACGTGTTTTCCGAAACTGGGATACTTTTGAAAGGTCTTATGCAGGGAGTAGAAGTAGACCTTACATATAATGACTTTTAGAAGAACTTTTCAAAATCTCCCAAAGATAGATGTCCTTTCAAAGAGTTTCTAGGCAGAAACAATTTTTGAAGTTTTTCTATGTGTCAATAGGCCTCTGAGGGATCATCCAGAAGTCTTCAGAAGTCCTTATACAAATATTTAAAAATTTCCTTCTTCTGTAAATAGAAGAAGTTTAGAAGGGTTTTATGTGGGTATACGAGGTCTCTAAGGTAATTAAAGAGGTCTTTCTTTGGTTGAAGGCTTTTTGGTAGTCTCCAAGGGACATAACTTTGGGGTTATTCTATAAAAAGGATACCTCTTAAATAACCATTGTGAGGTCTAAACACATCTGATAGCACTTAAATAGGTCTTCTACAGTTGGAAGTCCTTTGGAGTGCATTCCGCCGATGGAAGAACTATGAGAGGTGTCCTGCGGATTAAAGGCCTATGAAAGTTCTTCTAGACAACAATGCCATTTGAGAGCTAAGTTAATAGAAGACCTTTAGCAGATCTTCAATTAAAAAAAGGATTAAGACGAAGGTAATGTATGGGTAGCTACAAGTCCCATCGAAAGCCTCGCATACATAGAATGCCTGTTCAAGATTTTCTACAAAAATCATAATGTGTGTATTAATAGACCACCTCTGCAGATGTTCTAAAAATGGAAGTCCGTTTAAAGTTCTTCTAAACGCACACGACATTGTCTTCCTCAAATATGAAACGCTTAGAATTCTGTGACATTTAAAATGTTTTGTTTTTGAGTTATTGTTTTAAATGTCTTCATTGGTTATAAACAAGCCATTTGAGCTCTTCTTCCGATCAAAAAAAATTCCTACAAATTTTCCATAGCCTCAATACATGTATTTCCATATCTTCACATATCTGCGCGGTCACATGTCGCTATGTATGTAGATTGTCTTGTAAGCGAACCGAAGAAAAAAAATCTCCTCAGGGTATTTAGCACAAACATCTTGTTAATTTTAATTTGAAGAATGTGGTTGGTTGCTTGGTTTTTTTCTCACCACCACGGACGGTGGATGGACAATACAAATCAATTAAAAAAGGCACTCAAAACTTGTTTGGACGCATAGTTTCTTGTTATTTTATTCAAGAAAAAAATAACTGACAACTGCAAATAAATTGTTTTTTTTTTTACATAAACTTCAATTGATTCCTCGCAACCAGTTCTCCATCATTCCAAAACGGCCGGCATCCACTTGGTTTTCATTACTTTGTCCAGGTGCTGATTTGTTTTTAGTGGCATTTAATATGCCGGCGACAACATTGGCTCTCCGACCAGACCTCTCAAGACGTTGTGAGCAGCAATGGTGGCCATGTCGGTGCGCGTGCGCTTTGTGGCCGATCCAATGTGCGGCGTAATGACTGGCAATAGAAAGTGAAATAAATTATTATTCATATGATTATACATTTAGAACACAAAGTGAATAAATTAAATTGTGTGTTTTATTTTAAGAAAGAATTCGAGAATTGTTGCACTGGGTCTGTAGAACCAGACACCAGGAAGTGTTACAGAATTTGTAGCAGGAAGAATACGAGGTTTTTTTCGAAATGTGCAAAAATACAGGTTTTGTGAAATGAACAGTAGATATTGAAGTTGTAAGAGAATTTATATAAGGAAACGGAAGAGGAATGAAACGTAAGGGATATAGAAAAGAGTAAAATGAATTAAAATTTTACATTACTAATCGAATTCTAAAAGGTGATTTTAGGCGAAATTTTTATAACTAAAAAATTAAACATAAATATTAAAGGTTCTCTCTATAAGGAAAATATCTCAAGCCGTATTTTATTTAGAGGAGAGTCCTTAAAAATCCTATCATAGAATGCTGATTTTTTCTAAAGAGATTCTGTCCATTGCAGAACTTTAAAAAATACTGCCTGTAGAACAACCATCAAAATGTGTCCCATTGTAGAAGGCACCTCCAATTTATTTTTTTTTATCATAAGAAGACTTCTCTTCTTGTGCGTTGAAAATAATTCTCAAAATGTATTCCGTTAAGAAGAAGTCTCACAAAGTCCTCTACTTAAAGAATACCTCTCAGAATATATTTCATTAAAATAAGTTTTCTCAAAAGTTTTTATAGCCTCCACCATAGTATGGTGGGTATATTAAGTTTGTCATTTCGTTTGTAACACCTCGAAATATACAATTTAGACCCCACAAAGTATATATATTGATTGATAAAATTTTATTCAAATGTATGTGTAGGTCCACGTTTTGGTATAGCCCCCATATAAGAGTCCCTCCCGATATTCGGTATTTTGATGACTTTAGCGACAATATTCATCGGAATTGTTTAAAATTTGGTATTTGAAGTTCGAAATGGATTCTACAACCTAGGACAGGAGATTGTATGTGCGGGTCCACGTCTTCGTATAGCCCCCATATAACGGCACCTCCCGATTTTCGGTATTTTGATGATTTTAGCGACATTATTGACCGATTTTTTTATTTAAGTTTCCTGATTATTGTATTGGCTTATGACAAATGTTACCTATGCATTTTATTGTTTTAGAGAATTGCCAAATTCGTTCCAAATGTTGGAGGGTATTCAAAGTTCGGCCCGGCCGAACTTACAGCTTTTTTACTTGTTTTTTTTTTTAATATTAGACATCCTAGATGATATACTTTTCAAAAGTACATCTCTTAAAAAGACTTCTGTGCAAGGAAGACCTTCTAAGATATTTTCTATTAAACGGTCTTCTATTAAGAAATAAACTCATACATCATCTCGTCATATATTCTTTTGTAGAATAAATCTACTTCCATGAGAAGACCCAACCTTAATAAAGCAATATATTTGAAGAAAACCATCCAAAGGACCTCCTTAGAAAAAAGCCATGCCAATAGTTATTCTATTGATAGAAGACCTATAAATGGGTCCTCTCTTGATATACGATGAAAATGTATATCTGTCTTAAAATCTTATTAAGAAATTAACTCTCTAAGCAACTTCTGCTGAAAAAAGACCTAAAAACTTCATTTCTCTCCTCTAAACCTTTCTAAAGACTTTCTACGAAAAAAACCGTTCAAAAGTTAAAGTTCAAAAGTCTTCTTTTGACGTGAGACGTTCAAAAAACTTTCTTTCTTTAGACCACTTGTTTTTTTTCTTCTTGAATGGCCACCTCTCGCAATCTTCAATGGAAAAGAACATTCTCAAAAGGTCTTCTATTTATGGAAGAACCTAAAAAAGTATTTTCTCTTTAAAGAACTGATGTAGTCTTCTAACTGTAATCTCTGTAAAGAAGATACCTAAGATACCACTAGAAGAACTCTAAGAACCATTAAAACCAAAAAAGACTTGTAAGGTTTTTCCATTCTCCAACGGGTTTTCAATCCGTAGAACACTTTGGAAGTATTTTATTCATATTCATGGAAGACCTCTAATTGGCACTTGGATCTTCAACACCTGTCCACTGAATGGAGTCCAAGAGGTAATTTATCCAAAAATACATCTAAGAAATTTTCATTCACTACAATATAGAAAGACTTTCTATTGAAATTCTTTCGAAGTCTTTTAAGTCTCATTGAGTAGGTCTTTTGAAATCTTCTAAAGATAGAAATCTTTTTAACTTCTACATATGGATTATCTCCAAGTGCTCACTTCCACATTCAAGGCCTTCGATGTCTATCCTGCAAATAAAAAACCTAAATCACGCCTTCCTTCCATGAAAGACGTTCTGGGGGACTTTCTTCATCTGGACTCTTTATTATTAGAAAATTTTAAAGACTTTCTATTCGCAATGACCTTCTAAAAAATGACCGCAAAATCAAGGCACTTCTCTGTTTTTGGTCCATTTTGCAATCATCTTCCAAAAAATAAAGTTCTACCCTGACCCAAACCCCACCTCCATTTTAAATTTCGTAAGTATCGGACCATAATTGCGACCTGTAGCGTGATTACAAATTAACATGGACCGACGGAGAGATAGACGGACGGACATACATAGCTATATTGACTCAACTCGACGAGATAGGAAGATCCATATATTGATTCCTATGTCGGGGACTAATATTTCAAGTTGTTACATAATTTTTGGCCAAATCAAAGTTATAATACCACCCAACACATAGTGTTGTACCCAATCATTTTAGAAAAAATCAAAATCTCTATATTAAATTCCAAGCTCTTTTTGCCAAATATAGCTCTAAACATTTGGGGTCCATATGTTATTCGAATTATTCCAATTTTAATACGAATTATTCCATTTGAAATTCGAATTATTTCATTTGTAATTTCAATTTTTTCGATTAAATTTATAAATTTAATAATTTGAATTACAAGTGGTATAATTACAATTACAATTGTAATTTTCGAATTACAACTGAAATAATTCGAATTACAATTGGAATTCTCGAGCTACACTTCGAATAATTCGAATTAAAAATAGAATACTCAAAATACAATTAAATTAACTTTGAAAAAGGTGTAGATAAATTTTTTCCAACTCGATTTTTTTTGTTTTTGATTCAAATTCCAAAATTTTAAAATTAAATATGCCGTGAAAGTCGATATTTGTTTACGACAACGAATATCTAATTTATATTTTTTTGCAAAATACCTTATCTATAAATATTCATGTGGAACTTACCAATATTTGGCAAAGTCAACAATTTATCGTTGGCTGGTAAGGGTTCTGGATTCATGACATCAATGCCGGCCGAAAAGATTTGATTTGTTTTCAAGGCAGTGTACAGATCATCCTGATTGACAATGGCTAAAAAGCAAAAAAAAAAAATTAGAAATAAAATTATTATTCAAAAATTCCCTCTCAACTTACGTCCACGGGCAATATTAATCAAAACGGCGGTCTTTTTCATTTTGGGGAATGCAGTCGAATTGAAAATACCCTCAGTTTCGGGGGTGAGGGGAGCGGCAATAAACAAGAAATCACTTTGACCCAACAGCTCATGGAATTCCACCTTCTGGGCATTGAATTGCTTTTCCAGTTTCTTGTCGATGGGACGACGGGTGGTGTAGAGTACACGCTCAATATCGAAACCCTTCAAACGCTTGGCAATGGCCTGGCCAATGCTGCCAAAACCAAAGAAACCCACCGTTGAGTCGCGTACGTCTTGACCCCACATCCATTCGATGTGATAATTTTCCCAAGTGGAACTGGAATTTGAAAATAATTTATGTATTTCATAATTGTTCTGAGAATTTGAAATTGATTTTACCTATCAATTTTAGTGCGACCTTCATGGAAGCGGCGGGCAGCAGATAACATTAAACCCATAGCCAAATCAGCAACAGCATCACTCAGCACAATGGGTGTGTGGCCGAGGGGAATTTTTCGTTTCTTGAGTTCTTCAACATCGACATAATCAATGCCAGCTGACATGGTGGAAATCGATTTCAATTGGGGTCCAGCAACATCCAAGACTTCCTTGTCGAGAGGAATGTGGGAGCCCCAGAACATACCATGGACACCCTTGGCTTTTTGCAGGATTTCCGTGCGATTTGGTGGCAAGCTTTCGCACATAATCAGTTTGCAGCCGCGACTCATTAAATCCAAAGCCTCCTGGGGAACTTCAGGATGGGTTACCAGAATTTTAAAGGTCTCCTCCTCACTGGAGTTTTCCTCACTGCTCTCAACTTTGGGTGTTGTGGATGGTGCCTCGGTCATTTTTCCTCTGCGCGAACCACGGGCCGCATCATTCACAGCAATCAGGGAGCCAAATATCAAAAGGGAAATAAATAAATTTAATTTTAACATTGTTTCTGAATTAATTATTTTTATTTTTGTATCGTTATTTTCCGTTCACTTGCAAAAGCCTTGCTTGATCTGCGTCAACTGATTTCACTGGAAGTTTTGTGGGTTCTTTTTATGAATATCTCCTCGGTGGGATTAAACCCAACAAGCCATGGCGCAGATATGGAGAGAACTTGTTTAGAATCAAGATAAACTTTTGAACTCAGCTTTTTTGGTAGTTTAATGCGCCAACAGCACATTGCTTCGAGCATATCGAACATGTTCGATTGTCTTGGCTCGATCACATTCAAGTCTCTCTTTGCATAATTAATTACAAATTCCTCAGAGAACACATCCCTCTCTTATTATTTTCCAATTTTTTCTTTTTGTTGTCTTACTCACCCGTTTGTTTTGTTGTTCTCGCTGACGTTCGTTCTATACCCTTTCACTGTCAATTGTTTACTGAATTCAACAGCTGCTACTCGAATTCGTTTTGAGCACTACCCATTGCCACAGCACTTGTTGTTGGCAAGTTTCAAAATACAAATTTGCAATCATTGCTCGATTTCTATCTTTCTTGGCCAAAATCGAAGGGGTTCTCTTAGATTAGATATTCCGCCACTTGTCGAAAGCTGTTGCATAGTAAAATTTCATTGTTATCACTATTTTTTTATTTGTTTTTGTAAGTGTTATAATAGGTGTTGTTGTTGTATTTGGTGTGATTGTATTTAAAAACAAATTAACTTTTTTAAGGGGGAGCTATGATTAATCGCCATGTTATGGTTTCGATTCGAAAAGCTTAATAATTAATCTAGTACATTTTGGAACTTTTGTTACTGGATCAATCCAGTAACCTATAGCATGAACTTGGATTTAATGAGATTCTTATCTAATTGCGAGAGATGTAATTTCATTTGAAAACAAATATTTTATTAATTGTTAAATTGTGGGAATAAACAGCCTTTAAACATAGGCTGTAGTGGCAAAACAAAGCGCCACAAAAAAAAAAAAAAAAAAAAAAAAAAAAAAAAAAAAAAAAAAAACCAAATGAAAAGGCAGTAAGTTCCGCCGGGTCCAACTTTAAATACTCTCCACCATTTGGAAAGAATTTGGAAATTTACAAAATATAAAATAAAATTAATAAAATAAATAAATAAATAGTTATATTGGGTTCTATATGAAGACGAGGACCTGTAATTTTCTGTCACAGGCTGTAGTACCCATTACGAAGTGCAAATACGACATTTCAACATTTCCGGTGAATAATGTCGCTAAAATCATCAAAATACCGAATATCGGGATGTACCGTTATATTGGGGCTATACGAAAACGTGGGCCTGCATAGACAATTTTCTGTCATAGGCTGTAGTATTCATTACGAACTTCAATTGCCAAATTTGAAATAATAAAATCATCAAAGTACTGAATATAGGGAGGAAACGTTATATGGGGGCTATGGGAAGACCTGGACCTGCATAGGCTATTTTCTGTCACAGGCTGTAGTATCCATTACGAACTTCAAATACCAAATTTTAAACAATTCTGGTAAATAATGTCGCTAAAATCACCAAAATACCGAAAATAGGGAGCTACCATTATATGGGGCCTATACGAAGACGTGAACCTGCACAGAGAATTTTCTGTCATAGACTGTAGTATCCATTACGAACTTCAATCAAAATTTGAAACAATTTCGGTGAATATTGTACCTAAAATCATCAAAATACCGAATATCGGGAGGTGCCGTTATATGGGGGCTATACGAAGACGTGGATCTGCATGGTCCATTTCCTGTCTGAGGCTGTAGTATCCGTTACGAACTTCAAATACCAAATTTGAAACAATTCCGGTGGATAATGTCACTAAAATCATCAAAATACCGAAAATAGGGAGGTACCATCATATGGGGGCTATACCAAGACGTAGACCTACATGGCTAATTTTCTGTCTTAGGCTGTGGTATCTATTACGAACTTCAAATACCAAATTTTAAATAATTCCGGTGAATAATGTCGCTAAAATCATCAAAATATCGAATATCGGAGGATACCGTTATATGGGGGCTATACGAAAACGTGGACCTACATAGCCCATTTTCAATACAAAAAGTCGTGCAGACATAATACACATTTGGGTAAATTTTTATCAACTTACTTCATTTCATTCGGAAGATAGAGTGATTTTCACAGACGGACAAACGGACGGACATTGATAAATCGACATAGAATTTTATGCCGATCAAGAATATACATACTTTGTGGGGTCTAAAATTATAATTTCGATGAATTACAAACGGAATGACGAACTTCATACTATGTATGGTGGAGGGTATAAAAACAGGATAATTTGGAAGTGGGGTTTTTACTCCCTCTCTAAGATGCAGTTCGATTCCTAAGCCAGACATTACCGGGTACGCATGTCTTCACTGAGCGTAATTCTATCCACACTCACAATGTTATCAAAGAGTAATAAAATTGGAGGAACATGAATGTGTGAATCTATGTCCGGACCTGCCAATACCAAATTTGGATAATACCTTCTGACCTACTGTGACGTCTACTTCTGGCATTCTGTTAGAAGACCTTTTGGACCTTTCTAAGTAGACTTTCTGGTCTTCTGTGAGAGAATTTTCTGGCCTTCTCTGGAAAGCCTTTCTTGTCTTTTCTAAGTAGAATTTGGTTAGATGTGAAATAATCTTCTGGCGTACTGAGAGAAGACTTGCTGACTTTCTGAGAGAAAATCTTATGGTCTTCTGTGATAAGACCTTCTTGTCTTTTCTGGTCTTCTATGTTCTTTCTGACGTTCTGTGAGAAGACCTTCTGGCCTTTTCTGAGTGGAATTCCTTTTTTTTTGTGAGAGGATGTTCTAGTCTTCTGTGAGAAGACGCTTATGGTGAAGATCTTTTTGGCGACTTTTCCTTCTGTGACAAGATTTTGTCGTCTATTCTGAGTAGACTTTCTGGTATTCTCACAGAGGATTTTGGTACCTTCTATGAAAAGACCTTTTGGACTTGCGTGAAAAGACATAGTGGCCTCCTGGCATTCTGTGATAAGACCTTCCAGTCTTCTTTAAAAAGACCTTCAGCCCTTCTGTGAGAGGATTTTTGGGCCTTCTGTCAAAAGGCCTTATGACATTCAATCTGATATAAGGAAAGAAGGTCTTCTGGTATTCTGTGAGAGGAACTTCACTTCCCTCTGTGAGAAGACCATCTGTTCTTCTACTGGAAGACATTTTAGTCTTTTATGGGAAGACCTTCTGTCCTTCAGCGATTAAACATTGTAGGCTTCTAAGAGAGAGTTTTCGAACACTTATCTTGTCATTATCTATGAGGATGCCTTCGGCCTTTTATTAGAAGACTTTCTGGCATTCTCTGAGAAGTCCTTCTATGAGAAGGCCTTCTATGTGAAGACCTCCAGGCCTTCTATGAGAAGACCTCCAGGCCTTCTATGAGAAGACCTCCAGGCCTTCTATGAGAAGACCTCCAGGCCTTCTATGAGAAGACCTCCAGGCCTTCTATGAGAAGACCTCCAGGCCTTCTATGAGAAGACCTCCAGGCCTTCTATGAGAAGACCTCCAGGCCTTCTATGAGAAGACCTCCAGGCCTTCTATGAGAAGACCTTCAGGCATTCTATGAGAAGACCTTCAGCCCTTCTATGAGAAGACCTTCCGGGCATCTGTGGGAGGAACCTCTGACTTTTACACCTTCTGGTCTGCATCGTTTCTGAGTATAATTTCTGAACTTTTCTGGGAGGATCCTCAAGTCATTTCTGAATAGACTTTCTGGCCTTCTAAGAAAATACTTTCTGTTCATCTAATGGAAGATCTTTTGGCCTTCTATGAGATGACCTTCTAATCTTCTGGCGTTTTGTGAAAAGACCTTCTGGTCTCTTCTAAGCAGATTTTCTGGTCTTGTTTTCGATATAGGAAGACCTTCTGGCCTTCCATGAGAAGACCTTTTGGTTTTTGTGAAAATACCTTTTGGCTTATGTAAGGGTCTTCTTACGGCTTCTGTGAGAAGACCTTCTGACAATTTGTGAATAGACCTTTTGGTTATCTGAGAGAGAACCCTAGGGACTTTTGCCCTTCTTTGCGAAAACCGTCTGATCTCCTCTGAGTAGACTTTCTTGTCTTATGTGGGACGATCATTTGGCATTCTGTGGGAATATCTTGTTGGCTTCTATGAGAAGAACTTCTGGCCTTCTATAAGAAGACCTTGTAGTATTCTATGAGAAGACCTTCTGGCCTTCTATGACATAAACTTCTGACCTTCTGTGAGAAGACCTTCTGGTCTCTTCCAAGCAGATTTTGTTGCTTCCTCTATGAGAAGACTTTCTGGCTTTCTTTGGGAAGACCTTTTGGCCTTCTCTAAGGACACCATTTGGCCTTCAAAGATAAGAGTTTTTGCTATATTGTTAGAAGACCTTCTATCCTTCTGTGTGAAGACCTTTTGACTTCTATTAGAATACCTTCTGTTCTTCTGTCCTGGCCTTCTCAAAGAAGGCCAGCAGGTCTTCTTTAAGTAGAAATTTAATGTTTTTTTTTTTTTTTTTTTTTTTGGAAGAAAAGCCTAATATGCCCTTAGCATTTTAGTTTTATTCGTCTTCTATTGAGCTTAAGACGTCATTTAAGACAAAAAAATCCAAGGAATTGATTTTCCCTGCCCTACCCCCTGGCATATATTTTTAATTTCTCCACTAAAAATGAAGGCCTTTTTTTAAATTTTGGCAACAAAAAAGTTTTAATCGCAGATGTTTACGTCATGGTTTTCACAGAAAATGTTGAGTATTTTACAGGGTTTGTAAAAAAATTATTTTTAATTTTTTTTGTTTGGCCTGCGCCAAGCCTATGAATATTATCATATTTATTTTTATTTATTTATTTTTTTTAAATTTTGGAATCATTTCTTAAAATATTGATTGTGGATTTGTCAAGAACTATTTTTTGGCATTGTTTCTATTTTTAAATTTTCTCATTTCACTTATTGTAACAGGAAACATTTTTCCTTCCTAAATCACAAAACTTGCATATTTTATAATATTTTTGAGAAGCACACACCCTGAGAACTGCATAATTCGTTGAAATACTGAATGTGGCACTGTAGGTTATCCCCTAACCATGCAGGAACCAAGTTGAAATCATCTCTGAGAAAAAATTGATAATTTTGAATTACAAATTCAATTGCAACGACTTAATCAGTTGTCAGTCAGTTTCGACCTCAACACTGAATAACAACATCCTC